TGTCTTCAATTCTTTGTTTTGTTGCTTGTTGCTGTTTGTTTGCTTTAGAGATCCTTAGTTTCTTTTATTTTCAATTATATGCATGGATGGGTATGAGTCTGTGAGTGCAGGTGCTCAGAAAGGTCAGAGGAGGGCATCAGATCCTCTAAAGGATCAACAAGTGGTAAGCACTTAGCCATCTCTCTAGCCCCTTGATTCTTTTTTGGACACAGGGTCTGGCTACACAGCCAGAGCTGGCCTAGAATTACCAATCTTCCTACGTGGGCCACCAAGTACTTGGCTGGATTACAGGTGTTGAGCAGAGGCTGCTTGTTTGTTCCCAGCTGCCCATACCACAAAATAATCACTCAGAAACTATATTACTTAAAACCACTGCTTGGCCAATCACTTAAGCATATTGCTAGCTAGCTCTTACAGCTTTAGTTAACCCACTTCTATCATATTTTACCATGAGGCTCATGGCCTACTGGCAAGGTTCCACCTGTCAATTCATGTCTTTTCCCCTCTGGTGGCTCCATGGCGTCTGACTCCGCCTTCTTTCTCCCAGCATTCAGTTTAGCTTTCCCCGCCTACCTCTATTTTGCCCCGCCAGGCCCAAGACAGATTCTTTATTAACCAATGGTAGTCACAGCATACAGAGGGGAATCCCACATCATACAGGTACACCCCACCATGACCTGGCTCTTCCTTAGCTTTTAAGAACCTGATCAGGTGGTGGTGGCGCACGCCTTTAATCCCAGCACTTGGGAGGCAGAGGCAAGCGGATCTCTGTGAGTTCGAGACCAGCCTGGTCTACAAGAGCTAGTTCCAGGACAGGCTCCAAAGCTACAGAGAAACCCTGACTTGGGGGGAAATATATATATATATATATATATATATATATATATATATTCTGGGGCTGAAGAGATGGCTTAGTGGTTAAGAGCACTGGCTACTCTTCCAGAGGTCCTGAGTTCAATTCCCAGCAACCAGATGGTGGTTCACAACCATCTATAGTGAAATCTGATGCCCTCTTCTGGCAAAAAGTCGATAGAGCACTCATATACATAAAAAAGGGAATACAAAATCTTTATTTGGATAATTAAAAAACAAAAATGGTAATACATTTTAAATATAGATGGAAAACAAAAATATTAAAAATCGACAGTTTTCCTTTTTTTCAAACATATCAGGTCCTCCAGGCTGTGACACTGACCCCCAGAATGGTATACCAAGTGCACACATGTGCCAGCCCTGCCTTTAGTCCCCAGCTACCCAGTAAGCCAGCTCCAGCCTCCCTTGTTTCAGGGTCCCTCTGGATGACAAGATGGTGACATGAAGCCTCTACAGAGCTAACCTGATTCTCATCAAGCAGTCACTGAGATTAAAACATTGCCTTGGCATAGACAGGTTAGAATAAAACATAGGAATGCATGCGGCAATTCTGTTTATCTTCCATTTTGATAATTTTACATCAATATCCAAAATTATAAACACCAAAATTTTCCCTTAGTCTGGCCCTACATAACTGCAATTCCTGAGGCAGTACAGCATCCATAGCTGACACCTCTGAATATTAACCAAGTCCTCTGGGAGCATCTGGTATTTACATTCACACACAGAACATAATGAAATTCATAACTATAGTCAGTGCAGATTTAGAAGCGGAAATGAGGGTGTGTGCAGCTTCAGGCATTGGTGGCCTAAGTGAGCTTGCAGTGCTTCTAGTTGAGAAAGATGCCCTCTGAACATAGGTTGTGATGAACACCCGGAGTCCAGAGACCTGCACCTGCTCCCATGTGGAAAGTACAGCCCACACTTTCTGAGAGCAACGATAACAAAGACTGCTAAGAGGAGAAACAGTGTGCATACAAACAGGAAAAACAGCTATCCAGAGGTCAGAGTGATGACACTTCAAGACCAGATCCAAAGAGGGAAAATAGTTCTAAAACAGAAAACAAAAACTGCCGATAAAGAAAATGCAGAGGAGCCTGGTGTTCTGACACAAGGTTTACTCCTAGCACAGGGGAGGCAGGAGCAGGAGGATCTCTGTGAGTCTGAGGCCAGTCTGATCTATAAAGTGGGTTCCAGGACAACCAGAGCCAACAGAGACATCCTATCCAGAGAAAGAGAGAGACAGAGATAGCCAAAGACAGAGAGAGGAGAAAATACTGAGGGATTGGAAAGAAAGCTCAGGACTGGTTGCTGCTCACAACTACCTGTGCCTCAAGCTCCAGGAGGACCCAGCACCTCTGCACCTACACACATGCATATACATGCCTACCTACATGCATGAACACCTACACACACACACACACACACACACACACACACACGTACACACATGCACACCTAAAAAGTATTTTTAAAAGAAATATCAAAAATCCTTGTCAGATGATGGTGGTGCATGCCTTTAGTCCCCCACTCGGGAGGCAGAGGCAGGCAGGCGGATCTCTGTGAGTTGAAGGTCATCCTGGTCTACAAGAGCTCCAAAGGACAGGCTCCAAAGCTACAGAGAAACCCTGCCTCAAAAAACCTAAAAAAAAAAAAAAAAAAAAATCCTATAAAGAGCAAAATTAACACAACCCATATTTCTGTAAAATCTTCTAATAAATTAACCAATTCAGAAATAACTTTGAGGAGGACATATTACACTCCCTACCAATTAAATATGATTTCCAAAGTCAGATACAATGTTTAACCTTTCCCTGAGAGTAACAGAGACAAGTGACTGCAGGAAGACCAAAAAGCCCATGCAGCTTTGGTCACGGCTACATTGTTGGGTCTAAGATTAATTCATTCAGAAAGTCTCTGTAAGACAGAGACAGAACTCTACAATAAATAAAGTTCTTCTACTATCTCCAAAGCTGCAAAGCCTTGGTCTGTATAAACAGCAGAAGGGTTACAGACACAGCTATGACCTTGACTACCACAACAATCACCATAGTAACATGCACACGCTCAGAAATAAGGCCTCCACAGAACCCCTGGCAGTTCTACCACTGGAAATACCCAGCCTGATTAGTAAGGGCTGTCCCAAGAACTATAAGAACCTGGTCTGACCTGCTAACAAAAGCTACATCTGCCAAAACACTTGTTAAATATTCTGTCTTGCCCATACTGAATTGACCACAAGTCTTATTGAAAACATTCTCTAAATCTCTAAGAAGGCTGTGCTTGCAAGACTCAGCCTATGGAAGAGATGGTACACACAAGCACATATTCTAACAGTGAAGTGTTAAGGAAGAGTTAATTTGGGGGCTGGAGAGATGGCTCAGAGGTTAAGAAAACTGGATGCTTTTGCAGAGGACTTGGGTTCAGTTCCCAGTACCCACATGTTGGCTCACAACTTCCTGTTATTACAGTTCCAGGGGATATGACATCCTTTTCTGGCCTCTGAGGGCACTGTATGCACACGGTACACAGATATACAAGTAGGAAAAACCCATTTACATAAAAATAAAATCTTAAAAAGAGAAAAACAGTGAATTTGTGAGAAATACTGGAGGCGATTCATGCAACCAAGGAAAATCAGCAAGTTAACACTGAAATAATTATCTTCTGGGAAAACCAAAACTGCAGAACAGGCACCATAGAAATGGCATTTCAAGGCTGTAAAACTGACAACGACAACAAAACAGAAGACCCAGCCATTATAAGTAAGCCCCGATTCAGCCAATTCAACAGAATGTATATTCTATACCATGCCTGCAAAGTATGGAAAAGAATATGGACACAACACACTCCAATTTAAAGGGCTCTAATTTTTAACACCAGACATTTCATGCATTTTAGATTTCAACTGTCAGTATATTAAATGATCACTGGAAGCCATCAGCTTTTGGTGACGGTGCCTACTCTGCCACTCTAAAACAGAACGGTGCCCCATGTTCTCTGATAAAACAAGAGAGAAACAAAGCCCTCCTCAGGAATGGGGGTCGGCACTAGTCCTGGGCTGCTGTCTGCATGGCTCTGTACTGCTCTAGATCCCTTTTTGATACACACATTACAGGAGCAGGCACCCTTTATGTGCCAGCAATCTACCCTTAGCTTGTCAATGTTAACAGGCTGTTCTTTTTTTTACTGTGCTTACAAGTACAATATCAGCTTATTCTCTCTGCTCAAAGTACAGTAAGAATGATCAACAGGAAATGTATTTTAAATACATTTCTATTTTTACATTGAAAAGAAAAAATGGAAATGGGTTCTTGTAAAACTGCATTTATGGATCCCCTTTATCCAACAGGGTTTCTAAGAACTTTAGAGTGGTGAAGACCATTTAAAGAGGTTTCCTTCATCACGTTCTGCATTAACAGGAATGTTATCAATCCATCTTTGATCAGTGCATGACTAGTATCACCAAATACAACTCAAACTGGTAACATTCCAAGTCTCCAATGCCACTGACAGTAACCCTCAGCTCTCTTCCTGTGGCATATACTTGGCTATGCATTGTTAAGTTCTGTCCCCCATGCTACTTTATCTGTAATAAAACTGTGCAACTCTTACGCTGTGTGACCCTTGACAGTAATGAACCATTGATGGAACAGCTGTGTTCCATGAAATAAGGCTGTAGCTACCTACACTAGAAAAATCTCCTTGATAAACAGCAAAGTAGCATTCAGAGGCAGAACAGTAGCAGCTCTTACGATTTTCCTATCCTAAGAATCAAAACTCCTGTTTACTAAGTCTCTCAAGAGTCCATGTAAGCAAAAGATGGCACCTCTACTGTCACTGTGTGCAGGAGGGAGCTGCACAGAGATCTCTGGTAACAGCTCCATCAAAGTTCCTACATGGCACTTCTCCCAAAGCCTTGTCCTTACATTCTTTATATAATAAAATAAACCCTGTTTCACTAAAACAAAATTAAAAGAATTATTTCCCCTGTTACCTTTTCATTAAATTTCCTAGTAGAAGCCACACTGTTCTTGGGAAAAGAACATTGTTATTTAGTTTAAATATCAACATTAGAGTGTCTCAGGGTTTTCATTAATATTGTAAAGACCAGGACCATAAGCAACTTGGGAAGGAGAGGGTTTATTTCAGCATACAGTTCCATATCACAAGCTACCACTGAAGAAGTCAGGGTAGAACACCACATTGACTTGCTCAACAAGGCCTGCTCGGCCTTTCTTACTGAACCCAGGACCACCCACCCACAATGGGCTGGACCCTCTCACATCAATCACTGATAAAATGCACTACAGGCTTGCCCATAGGCCAATCTGATGAAGGGATATTTCTCGACTGAGAGTTCCTCTTCCCAAATAACTCTAACTTGTGTCAAGCTGAGACAAAACTAGCTGGGGCAGACAGTGATTCAGATATTTCTTAAATATCAAACTTTAAAGGAATAAATTTTGGTTTTATGCCCTTTAAATATTTTTTCAAAAACATGAATGAGTTTTTCCACAGGTCTATATAATTCTAGCTGAAGGAAGTTTAATGAACAGAGTGTACAGACAAAGACCTGTGCTTGTGTTTTCTTTTTCCCAGTGCAAGGACTAAACTTGGACCTTACAAATGCGAGGCAAGTGCTTCCCTGGAAGCACATCACAGCCCTTGGTGATGGCCTTTAAAAAAGGGAAGAGGGACAAAGAATAAAGTACAAAGTACCTTTCAGTTTTCTCAAACTTAAGAACTTTAAAATATACATCCTGGCCTGGCAGTGGTGGCACACACCTTTAATTCCAGCACTTCGCAGGCAGATCTCTGTGAGTTTGAGGCCAGCCTGGGCTACAGTGTGAGTTCTAGAACAGCCAAGGCTATACCAAAAAAAAAAAACCTGACTCAAAAAACAAAAAAGTAAAAAAACAAAACAAAAAACAATCCTGAAAACAATACATATTTTTCTCCAGTGGCTTTTAGCATGGATTAGCTTTTCACAGATACAGTAAAATTTGAGGCTGAATGTTTGTAGAAGCTCAAACGTTTACAAACAGTGGTGGTCTAATTAATGGTATTGGGAATAATAAGTTAACTTCTCCACATACACAGCTGAGATCAGAGACTCATCTACTGACTGCTTGCGCAGTAGCATGCAGCTCTTCAGTCGCGGTGCTCGGGACCGTGTCCTTCCTCAGGTGGTCATCTAGAGAGAATATATAGGTGTTAATACTCCAAAACAGGCAGACAGGCAAACACACCTCTATCTATTTTAGGGCAATATATTAGTATTTTATGAGTTTTTCTTATAACATATATTGACTTGTGGGGGTGAGGACTGGCAGGTGTGTATGTGGAGGTCAGAGGAAAACTTGAGGGACGCGGTTCTCTCCTTCCACCATGTGTGTCCCAGCAACTGAACAGAGCTACTATGACTGCCTGCTAGCTAAGCCCTCATGTGGAACAAAAAAGGAGTACAGTTGATATCTTTGTATCAACACTGTAACACTATTCAGGGAATTGTGGAAAGTGCTTTTAAAGCCTGCAAGATGACTCAGTGGGTAAAGAGGCTTGCTACAAAGTGATCTCCAACTTTATCCCTGAAATTTACAGAACTGACTCCTATCAGCTGCTCTGATTTCCACATACGTACTATAGTCCATGTGTGCACAAACATACATATAAGTGTAATAAATGATAACTAAATAAAATAAAATCCAAAGATAAACTAGGTAGAGGGAGACACACCTGTAATCCCAGCACTTGGGAGGCTGGGGTAGAAGGATAAATACAAGTCAGGGCCACTCTGATCAACATGGAGATCTGTCTGTCTCTGCTCCACCAATGCTGGAGCTAGGGGCACACATGCCAAGTTAGAGAGATGGTTCAGTAGTTAATAGCAATTACTGCTCTTGTAGAGGAACCAGGTTCAGTTTCTAGCACCCACATGGCAGCTCACAATGAACTGGTGTGTAGTCTAATTCAAGGAAAATCTGATGTCCTCTTCTGGCCTCCTTGGGTACCAGGCATGTACATGGTACATAGACACACACCCACACACACACACACAAAAAAACCAAATATAAAACTTTATTAAAAAAAAATGTCTGAGTCATGTGTAGTGGCATATACCTATAATCCCAGCTGAGACAAAGGGATTGTCACCAGTGTGAGGCCAGGCTGGACTACATGGAAAAACACCATCTTCAAAAAAAAAAAAAAAACAAACCAGATAAAATTTAAATTTAAATTAAAAAATGAAGGGCCTTTTAAAATTAAATTTCTTTCTTTGTGTGCGTGTGCACATATGCATACATGTGAGTGTGTACACACAGGCCACAGCAGGTATACGTGGAAATCAAAAGACAACTTTTTTTCTTTTGGCTTTTGGAGACAGGGTTTCTCTGTGTAACAGTTCTGGCTGTCCTGGAACGCACTCTGTAGACCAGGCTGGACTCCAACTCACAGAGAGCTGCCTGCCTCTGCCTCCCGAATGCTGGGACTAAAGGCAGGCACCAGCAGTGCTGGCTTCAATGGACAACTTTTAGAAATTGGTTCCTTTTTTCTGTTGTGAGGGCCGGAAGCTGTCAGGTTGTTGAGTTTGACAGCAAATGTCTCCCAACTACTAAGCCACCTCCTTGGTCCAAACTATGTTATTTTTGCACTTTAAAGTACACTGATGGATGTACATTAAAGCAGAACTGAGATGGCTTTTCTGTCATAAAAACTTCAACTTTTATTTAGAACGAAACCTACTCTGCCTCAAAGATCACATCTACTCACCACAGGACTAGGTGACGGGCTCTTCTGAGGGTGGGTTCCTATGTGATCCTCGACAGCATCTCACCCTCCATTTAAGCAAGAGGAGCTGTCAAGTGCAGTCAGGTTGGACTTAGAGAGCAACCATGTTACAGATGATCTACGGCTGAGGGCTCGTCTCAAGGCATTGCACACAAAGGTCAATGTGCTAAGAAAATAATTTGCAAGCCAGAAATGGTGATACAAGTCTTTAATCCTAGCACTCTGGAGGCAAAGCCAGGTGGATTTCTGAGTTTGAGGACAGCCTGGTCTACAGAGCTAGTTCCAGGCCAGCTTGGGTTACACTGAGAACCCATCTCAAAAACAATCAACAACAACAAAAAAAAAAAAAAAAAAAAGAAAAGAAAGAAAGAAATTATAAAATCACTGTCCCTGTAGCTCTGTAGCTCCCCTCACTCATAAGCTTCCTCTGGAGCTTTCTTCAGAGCAGGTGCCCAAAGGCACTTTACCGACTGTCCCTACACTACTCCACACCACAGTGGAGGAAGGTGGTCAGTGACTCCTCTCCTCACTTTCAGCTCTCTACCACCATTACATTAGTATTAAGGAAGTTCTAACACATTTACAAACCACAAGTTACTTCTCAAAACATTATTTTTTTTTATGGGACTAATTCAGTATCTTGTGGTTATTGTGTTAACAAGTATTAATGTGTCATCAGCAACCACCAGGGACAAGAACTGAGTACTGCCATGCATTCTTTTTTTTAAATATTTATTTATTTATTATGTATACAATATTCTGTCTGTGTGTATGCCTGCAGGAGAATTAAGTCAATGAAGTTAAAGGAGAACGTTGGAAACACCTACCCTTTGGTTTTCTGCTGGGCTTCCAGCTGGGATGCCTGTTTGGAGGCTGGAGTGTCGACTCTGTCAGAAGCACATTCTGGATGCCATCTGGAGGACCACGCAAAAAATGGGCTAAAATTCCATATAACAGAGGACTATTTCAGGAAGAAGGCAAAACCAAAATCAATTCATTTCCCATAAGTAGACAAAGCTTAAGACATTTGCTTTAAAGGTAACTCTGACACTGTAGCTGCCCTTTAACTCACTAGATCACAAAAGACACAGGATTATTATCCAAGTGGCAAATGGTCACTCTCAGTTTAAAACTACCAATTAACTTGAGAAGTTTTTGTTTTCGAGATGGAGTTTCTCTGGATACCCTGGAACTCTTAGACCACGTTGGCCCTGAATTTAAGAGATCCGCCTGCCTCTGTCTCCCGAGTGCTGAGATTAAAGGTGTGCACCACTTCGGCAACCACATGGCTCTTGAGAATTTGTAAACCCCCAGGAAACACATTAATACCATTAAAATAATCTAAATTGAAATAAAATTATAATCAACTCACTGGAATTCACCTTGTCAACTCCAAACCCAGCCTAAAACCTTCCTAGAACCTAAAATTGGTTTCCTGCTTTGCCAACAGCCAGCTGCAGACCTTGGAAGATCTTAGTTTCCTGAAGCTCACAGATGTTTTTCTCCCTCAAAGGGTCTGAGCAGTCCTTTGGTATGCTGTGAATTAGTTCACAATGTCAAGCTTTTAGCTGTGCACCTTGCACACAGTAAAAGGCACATTAATTTTGGTTACAGGTGAGCTGCGCAGTAACTAATATCTAAAAGGTTGCTTTGTGGTTTCCTCTTACCCATCACTCTACTCAACCAACTTATTAATGAGAAAGCCAGGCCTCAGTGATGTGCTAGTGTCTCTCGGGGGTAACGACATTTACACACATAACCAACTCCTATGTGCTTTTCCTTAAAAATATGTCACCTAGAGTCCTGTTAATCAGTCCCTTGTCACTGAAGGCTGGTCTGCTGACAGCACAGAAGCCAAAGTCCCTTTGCTTCCAATCTCACCCCTGAAAATACAAGTAAATACATTTACTTTTGAGATATCCATCTCCTGCCCAGTTGGTATAATGATTCAAAGTATGGTATGTCTATCGAAAACAGAGAACAGAGTCTAAACCCCTTATAGTTTACTGAGCCTCACTTACTTCTACCAATGGGACAAGGTGGTAAGGACAAGGGCCTATTTATTACTTGCTTTCTTGTATCACTTCTGTGGGAGGCACAGACTAAGGACGTTCAGGCAGTCCCACAGACAGGCACATGTGTGAGGCGCTGAGACAGTTTGAAGCAGATTCCATGGCCTCAGTTAAGGCTCTAGAAGCCTGAAATCTCAAGAAATCTGGGTCTACACTCAGGTGAGTACAGCTCCCAATACCCCGGATACAGTGAGTTCTGGAGTGATGTGTGGGACAGGAGCAACTCCTCCAGGCCAAGGAGCAGCACAGGCTCAGTGGAAATCATACCAGGATACACTTCATGCCTCTGCCCCTTACAAGTCAACTGGTTTGAGAGACTGCTAAAGGCTTTACTTCTAACTTAGATGGAATCTGCTCGAGATTTAGGAAATTTTAAGTGTCAGATATCTTAAACTGCTTTAGATAATACATAATTAGCACAATTAGACTACAATTTCATAGACAGTAAAGTGTCTTTGCAAAAATAAGCTTTAAAAGGCCATATACAGAAAAGTATAGCAAGGGTTGTTGCCCAGTGGGAAAGCACTCACCTATCATGTGCAAAACCCCAAGTTTGATCTTCAGCACGTATACCCCCCAATTTCCAAAGAGCAGCAAGACGCTCCTTTCTTTTTTTTTCCAAAGATTTTATTTGTTTATTACATATACAGTTTTCTGCCTACATGTATGCCTGCAGGCCAGAAGAGGGCGCCAGATTACAGATGGTTGTGAGCCATCATGTGGGTACTGGGAATTGAACTCAGGACCTTTGGAAGAACAGTCAATGCTCTTAACCTCTGAGCCATCCCTCCAGCCCCAAGACACTACTTTCTGGAAATAAAGCTGGTCACCAGTTTCCTCTTTAACTAGCTCATCTGAGGCAACTGTCTCAGAGGCTAGGAAAAATCTAAGAGCTCCCAACACCTGCTAACTACAAACAATGCCTTATGCTTGAATGACCTCCTACCCGAGTGCTCACCATCCTTTGCTACTGTGGTAGTCTAGAAAGGAATGGCCCCCATAGGCTCATATATTTGAATGCTCGGTAATTAGGGGGTGGTGATAATGAGAGACATTAGGAGGTATGGCCATGTTGGAGGAAGTATGTCACTGGGGATGGGCTTTGGGGTTCCAAAAACCAAGCCAGTTCCAGTGTCTCCTCACATCCTGCTACCTGCAGATCCAGATGTAGAACTCTCAGCTCTCTCTCCAGCGCCATGTCTGCCTGCATGCTGCCATGCTTCCCACCATAATAAAAATGGACTAAACCTCTGGAATGGCAAGTCAGCCCCAATTAAATGCTTTCCTTCGTAAGAGTTGCTGTATGCCTCTTCATAGCAATAGAACACTGACTAAGCTACTCTTAGAGACTTTTTTCACACATTTCAAAAACTGTCCAAATGTATAAAGCATTGCCCACTGTTTTGCTTAACACTCAAATATAGTGATTATTGCACCCATGGCCACTATCTCTGCAAAAAGGAGGACTATGCCCCCTTAAAGATTTCTGCACCCAATAAATCTGGTTACCAAGTTAGATGACAAAGGCTCTTTCTGTGGCAGGATTTCTTGGGGCATATGCTTTGTATATGTATATCAAGAATGACCAAGAGGGAATGTGGTTCAATGGTCTTTTGTGAGCATCTGGGAACACTTCAGAAAACAGTGTGCCGCCACATCTCCAGCAGTATCCCACATGATAGCAGGTGTCAGATAGGTTTTGGCAGAATAGTAAAATGCTGGAAAATACCTCATGGATATAGGAATCCACAGTGACCCAAGAACATGAGAGTTGTTTACAACAAAAGGGGAAGACATGATAAGAAAAGGAAGCAGAGGGAGACAGCCTCAATAGACACCTTCATATTCTGTGTAGATAACAACAACAGTGATGACAACAACAACAACAAAAAAACCCTGAAACAAAATACCCCCCAAATAAGAAGAATGCAAGTATTTGAAAAAGAGAAGTATATATATAATACAATTCCCTCACTAAGTGGAAGAAAATACACACAGTTGTGCTCTAAGTGGTGAGCTTGTATCTGAATAATGCAAGGGAAAAATGTTCACTTGGGTCACCTTTGGGTAGAGGTGTCAGTGGGCAGATGGAGACAACATTACAGTTTTCTCTGCCATCTACACGTTTCGTAGCAAAACACCAATACTTTCACCATGACCACCTTAAAAGAGATTTCACCTCACTCAGGCCATTGTTCCTCTCTAAGGGCTCATGCCACTTGAGGTTAATACACAACGTAAGTATACGCAAGCAGTCAGCTTGCTGTCATCACTCATACCTAGTGACTTAAAGCTTTCCCTTCAAGGCTGGGTGGTGGTGGCACAGCAGGCCTTTAATCCCAGCACTAGGGAGGCAGAGGCAGGAGGATCTCTGTGAGTTTGAGGCCAGCCTGGTCTACAAGAGCTAGTTCACCTGTCCAGCTCAAAGCAACACAGCATCTGGACGCTCAATGCAAAACAACATCAAAGTGCAATTGGAAGTTTCTAAATATACAATATCATAGTAACAGTCCACTATAGTAATACTCTGCACTTACTTGAATCATTTATTTAACACGTAGTATAACAACCATTATATTCCTTTGTAGTCTGTTTAAGATTGCTGTTGAAACCCTTTGTAGTCATATCATATCAGCGCAAAGACAAGTATAAAGAGAAGAAAACATGAAACTGTGGAACTATGAAATGCTTTCTTTTCTCCTTCTCCAGGTCACCTTGATTTTATACAGATAATCAGTTTTCTTTGTAACTGAAATCCATTGCAATGAGAACAAAATATAGTCGAAAACCTGTGGGTAACTTTTTTCTCCTTCCCAACTCCTGTGGGAGCATCTAAACAGGGCCAAGAAGATGAAAGGTGATCCCACAGAAGTTGAGGAAGAAGAGAGATCTCCAGCTTCCAGAAGAGGGAACAATTGCTGCAAAGGCAAAAAACCATGAAGCTGCAATGAGCTGTGTGCCAGTGAGGTGGGTAAAGCCATTGGAGCTGGAAGCCATGCAACGGGTTATGACTTGCTCATGTATATAATGGATGTTTATTAAGTGTCTTTAAACGATGCAGTAGCTGCCTTAGAAAGATAGAGGGCAGGATAAAATCAGCTTGAAAAAGAGAGACTGGTGATAAACTAGTCAGGTGGCTCCTTAACAATGTGAACAGCATGGCACAGGGCAGTGAGAAGAGATACCCAGAGGCAGAATCAATAGTACAGGTGAAGGACTAGCCAGAGAAAGAGTTCCCTTTAAACTGCCTGTGGACTCTGCCTTTAAAATCTGAGCAGCAACCAGGCACTCAGAAGTCAGTGAGTTCAAGGGCAGACTGGTCTACAAGTCAAGTTCCAGAACAGCCAGGGCTGTTACACAGAGAAAATCTGTTTTGAGAAAAAAGAAAACAAAAACAAAAAACCAACAAAACCTGAGCAGCTCATGAGCAGCTTATGAGGAAGGTGTGAGAAAGCACAAAGTGCCCTTGTCTTCTGGACACCACATGAGCCCCAACTCAGGAAAATTAGCACATTTGCCCCATACAGACCTCCCTAGAGACTCAAGAATATGGTGGGGAGGGGTGTAGAAATAAAAGCAGAAGATAGGAGTCAATGAAGAAAGCAAGACTACCACCGGGAACTCGTACAACAGTGAAGAACCACAAGAAACAGGACAGAAAACAGCGTGGAGAAAAGAAGTCAGTATTACATGTTGTAAAAACAGGCATACACTTGGCTCTAGGGATAGGACAGCACTGAGGGAGTGTTAGTTTAAATGACATATGATATAATACCATTTATGGTAAAACAAACATAATTATACCATAAAAACAAATGAAAAAATTCAACAAGCTTTTAGAAAGAAAACACGAGTTTTCAAGGAAATTTCCAGCTAGTTGTGTTGTGTTGAGCCACGTACTCTGGCACGAGGGACAAACTAGTGAGCCAGTTCGGGACTCTATGGTAAAGTGTAGAATGTATTAAACACAGGGTAAACTAGTGAGCCAGTTCGGGACTCTATGGTAAAGTGTAGACTGTATTAAACACAGGGTAAACTAGTAAGCCAGTTAGGAACTCTATGGTAAAGTGTAGAATGTATTAAACACAGGGAAAGAACTAAGAGATGATGAGTATAAATGAGGAGAAGGAGCACTGAAGATAGCAGAAGAGAGAGGGATGGTAACATGAACGCAGAGGGCAGGCCTAGCAACTAAAGAAGATACAGCAGTAGCAGGGTGAGAGGAAGTTGATGGGAAGGCTTTTCTTCTTCTTTTTTTCATTTTTAGAGGAGATCTGAGTCTATTTCTACATTGGAGTGACAAAAGCAATGAGGAAGAGTTAAATATGAAGAAGAAAGGAACTTAAAGAACAAAGCCTCAGGAAGAACAAAAAAGATTAGGAGGCCAAGAAAAATCATCCTTAGAAAGAAGTAAGAAGGCCGAAGGGGGAGCTGGAGAGGTGGCGTGCTTAGCAATTACGAGCACTGGCTGTTCTTCCGGAGGACCAGTCTCAATGCCCAGCATTTACTTGGTGGTTCACAGCCACCTGTAACTCCAGTTCCAAGGCCGCAGGTATGTGGTAAGCAGCATGCTTGCAGACAAAACACATATCCACATAAACACTTTTTTTTTAAGTTTAAAAAAGAAAATAGAGGGCCAGGCCAAGGAGACTGCTCAGGGTACAGGGTGTGTTGCACCACGAGCAGTTAAGGCTCTGGTTCAATTACCACCACCGAAAGAAACAAATTGAGGAAAAAGCCCTCAAGAAAGAAAGAAAGAAAAAGAAAAGAAGGAAGAGAGGCAGGCAGGCAGGCATGGTGGTTGGCTAGGTATTCAGTTCTCTGAAGACACAACAAGCTCAGCTGTAGCAGAGACCTCAGGTGACTGACCTGCTGCCACACTGCTTAGACCTCATATAGTGTGTAACTTACAGTAAACCCCAATAAGTTCCTGCTGGATTAAAATGAATCATAGGCAGCACTGAATGCAACATCTGCAAACCTCTTTTAAAAACTTCTTACATTGAGTTATCCTTTGATTCTTCAAAGGCATTCAGTTCACGGATGAGAAACTGTCTGTCCAATGGAACTACAGGTTGACCAGATTCTGGAGGGAAAAAATTCAGAAAAGCACTGAGTCTATTAATCTAAAAGGCAAACTTAATTTTGATAATAACCATATCTCCTAGGCACATACATTTCTCAGACTTTGGTAGAATGCTGACAGCACGTACCAACACAGATCAAACTGCATATGACTTTATGTCAACAAACTCCAATGCAATGAAATGTAGAACTTAATTAAAGCTTAACACATACTCACTTTTTATATCCCCATTTGTGATTGGTGATATGGTTTCTAAATCTAAAATTACAATGCTGGACTTCAGTAAGCTCCCTAAGATGCCTATACATTAAATACATGATAATAATAAATAGCTCATTAAAAATATATTCACTTAGGGACAGTAATTCTAAAATTAAAATTATAAATTATTAGACTGAGTCTTACTCTAGCACAGACTGGTCTCAAATTCACTATGGGACCTAGACTGGCCTTAATCCTGCCCTTGCTTCCTGACTGCTGGGACTATACATGTGAGCACCACCTCCCTGATGCGTTACTCAAAAGCAGTGGCAGTCATTACCTGAAGGGAAGCATTCACTTCCCAGACAATATGGCAATTTCATCTTTAGTTCTTTATTTACAAAAATAAAATGAAAGTCACACAAAAACTTCATATGTTTTTGAGGATTTGATTCACTGCTGCCAGAAAGTATAAACAACCAATCTGCCTATGAGAGCAGAAAAAAATGGCACAGCACAGCATTACCCCATTTGCAGGGTAGAAGTCAACATGACTGAACTCTCGTGTGTCGTACCAGGTGAAGTGAGGCAGCATTGAAAGGCACGTCCCGTAGGCCTTCACTTATATGGCATGATGGAAGAGGCACACCTGATGAACAGAAACCCAGTCTCTCTTCTCCTTTCCTCCCCACCTTCCCCGGTGCTGGGAATTGGCCTCTGGCCTCACACGGAGCTGCAGCCCCAGTGCTCTTCTGGTTTTCAATTTGAAGCAGTGTCCTCCTGCTTCAGCTCCTTGAGTTTCTGCGATTATACGCATTAGCAACAATACCAATCTAAAACACTCGTTATCAAAGACAGCACTGTTACTATTTCATCCTAGGGATGACACACACCTCACACCTAGGTGATGGCATTTTCATTTTTTAAAAGAATATTTATTTATTATGTATACAATATTCTGTCTGTGTGTATGCCTGCATACACACAGGCCAGAAGAGGGCACCAGACCCCATTACAGATGGTTGTCAGCCACCATGTGGTTGCTGGGAATTGAACTCAGGACCTTTGGAAGAGCAGGCAATGCTCTTAACCTCTGAGCCATCTCTCCAGCCCCTGGTGATGGCATTTTCAAAAAAAAAAAATTTTCCCCCTCTGGAGTGTTGATGGTATTATACAACCAGCTATGATAATCTGAGAGAAATAAATACTGATACTAGATCTTTAGAGAACCTTCAACATACCAAAATCATATCCTTTATGAGCATGTGTGCATAATATTACATGGAGAACCTGCAGTAGAAGGTCCTAGCTCTTACTTTCCCCGACAGCATAAAGCTCACCAAAACTTGTTAATGCTATGACAAGAAACCACAGGATGCTATGTGTTCAGTCACTTGCATGACAGAGTAATCAAACTACATATTCAGGCTGCTTTCTGAGAATTAGAAAAAGGATAAAGCAGAGGTTTTCTTCAGAGATGAATAACCACTTACCTGCTATGAGGACAGAGGCTGTGTACTTATATTTGTTGAATTCCAAATACTCTCTAATTAATTCATTAATTAGAAGGTTTTCATGAGACAATGATGGTCGGGGTTCATGATCATCATCTAGGGCACTGAAAACTTCAGCACGGATCCTTGCTTTTAAATGTCCTAACACTCCCCTTTTTTCCAAGGTGTCCTTTAAAACTGTTAAATGGAAAATATAGATGGTTCTGTTACAGACTAACTGTTGAAAGTTCAGGTATGTGTTAAAGAATAAAAAGGACACAAATATAGCTCTTAGTTTAAAGAAAAAGATAAACAATTTCAATATCATAAGCTCTATTGGTAAAAATTAAAGTCCTCATAGTATAATCCACTCTCAATGTATTTGTGCAAATTCAAGTTTACCCATGATGCATCTTTAGTTAGGGACTGAGTTTGATGGGGGGGAAAGGGTGAACAGAATAAAGTTTGTTTACCCGAGTCTCCCACAGATGTTCAAGTGTTTGTCTATTTATAGGGGACACAGACACTACTATGATCTTTAGTCGGGAAAGATGACTATGGAAAACAACTAACCTCCAGAAAAAGAAGGAATATATCATTAATGTCGACAGAGAAAAACTTCTGACATCCACAGCTGACTTGGTTTTGTTTTCCAAGATAGGGTCTCTCTATGCAGCCCTGGCTGGTCTGGAACTAACAGAGATCTGCCTGCCTTTCTCGAGTATGCCACCACACATTCAGCTGACTGAAATCCATAACTGATTTTTGTTTGTTTGTTTCCAGACGTGGTTTCTCTGTAACCTTGGCTGTCTTAGAATCACAGTTGATTCTTAATTAAAAAAAAAAAAAGTGTTGTGGGTTTTGATTCTGTTCTGTTTTAAGGGAACTAGAACTGGGAATGTTGCACATTCCTGTAATTCCAGTACTTGGGAGGCTGGGAAGTCAGACCAGCTTGGGCCTCATACCTAGACTGTAACCCAAGCTAACTTTAAACTCTGATGTAGGCTGAACATGACCCTAAATTTCTGATCCTCCTGTAGGCTGTGCTGGGATTACAGATGTACAGGACCAACCCCAACGTATGTGTTGGTGGGGATCATACCCAGGGCCTCATGCATGACGGGGAACCAACATCCCTAGCCCAACAGTAGATTTTAAAATGTCAAGTCTGGTTAGGAATGTAATACAAAGTGCTGAAGAGATGGCTTAGTAGTTAAGAATGCATATTGTTCTTGCAGAGGACTTCAGTTTACTTCCTGGTACCCATGAGTACCCACAACCATCTGATGCCCTCTTCTGCTGGCCTCCACAGGCAACCACACTCCTGTATACATGTACACACACACACACACACACACACACACAGAGAGAGAGAGAGAGAGAGAGAGAGAGAGAGAGAGAGACAAAAAAATAAATCTTAAAAAAAGGAAATGTAATGAGACTCTAATAAGGGACTATACCACTGTTAACTTACGAAGTCAGAGTCAACTCTGCTGCCACCCAGCCCAGAACCAGGGCTATGAGATGACCACCTCATCTATGAACTGCTGGAGCATGTGAGGGGCCAGACCTGCAGATCCAAAGCTGCAGGAACTCCATGACACAGGACAACAACAGGATATTAAGAGGAGTTCCAGTGAGGGTCCAGTACCAAAAGGAGTCAAACCCGGGGCTTACAACCAGACCAATGATTCACTGCAATGAACACTTACAAGTAAAGATGTATGCCAAGACTTTTTTTTTTGGTATTATTAGTTTGTTTTTCTTTTAAATATTATGTTGGGGGGAGGGGAAGGTTGCAGTGGCAGAGGGTAGATGTGAAGGGATGTGGAGATGAATGGGATCAGGATGCATGATGTGAAACCACAGAGAATCAATTTTAAAAAAAAGTTACCATCCAGATCCTTCCCTTTTCAAACAGTCTTTTGTGACTACATGACAGTTCTGAAGAATCAATATAATACCTAGAATATAACAAGAGCTCACTAAATGTTACAAATGTATAATATCTATAGTGCCTTACACTATTGGTGAAAAAAAAAAGTAGTTCGTTTTCTGTTTTATTTTTTGAGATACAGCTTCTCTGTGTAGCCCTGGCTGTCCTGGAATTCCCTTTGTAGACCAGGCTGGCCTCCAATTCATAGAGATCCGCCTGCTTCTGCCTCCTAAGTGCTGGGATTATAGGTGTGCGTCATCACCACCCAGCTAAAAAGTGTAGTTTAACAGAACACTGTGCTCTGCCAGTGGCAAAAGCATTATTATGCCACAACAATAAAAATTCATAAGACAGCTTATCCATTTAGGTACAATCAGTAAAGTTCCTAAGCTCTGGTAAATAACAATATCCTTGGTCATGTGATTAAAGATACACACTGATAGACTTTCCATCTTCCTTCTCTTTTGTTTTTAATGCATTCATTCCTTCAGCCTTTCTGCAGGTGCACTAACTGCAGTTATCAACAAATTTACTTTGTAACAGGCCCATAAAAGGAAAGCTTTATCATACTCTTAAGATCATAAGACAACCCCTGTTCTCTAGTTCCATCTTTGGAAATTAAATGGAGAGATTCTTTTCTACTGGCAAGCATCCTGTTCCAATTACTATGAAGAACACACAGTACAGCCTCATACTCAGCAGAAAATAAAAAGTAATGAAGCTGGCACTGGAAAACTTAGCATGTCCTTCATGACTTGGTGGCAGATTCCTAACTCATGCCTTGGTTGCCTTCTCGGTGGTAATGAACTCTACCTCTCAGAAAGAAGATCTAGGTGAGATGGAAGAGTGTTTTACATGAGTAAAAGGCCCATAAAATATAAGATCATCGATTAGGGAACAAGTTTTCATTACCTTTCTCTTGGACACAAAGCATATCAAGAGCCCGAGAATACAGAAAAACAAACGTAAAGAAGAAACCCCAAGTCTATAGAGGCCACCGTCCTAGAACTAGTTCTTGTAGACCAGGCTGGCCGTGAACTCACAGAGAGCTGCCTGCCTCTGCCTCCCAAGTGCTGGGATTAAAGGCGTGCACCACCACTGCTGGGCTGCAGGTCTTTTTTGTTGTTTTTTTTTTTAAATATTATGTATTTATTTATTATGTATTCAGTGTTCGCCTGCATGTATCCCTGCAGGCCAGAAGAGGGCACCAGAGATGGTTGTGAGCCACCATGTGGTTGCTGGGAATTGAACTTGGACCTCTAGAAGAACAGCCAGTGCTCTTAACCTCTGGACCATCTCCCCATGTTGGGAGCCGGTCTTAATCTGACTTATTTCCCACCGGATTATCTTCATGTCCTTTGAGAAGTTTATACAATATCACACGTGTTATATATCCTCCTGGGGGCTAAGGCATTTCTAGTTTTGCACAATGCCACCAACACATATTTTGCCAATGGTTACTAAATTATAGTCTCCAAGCTACTCTACTTGGTCCTCTCCAAATTTCCACTATCACTGGCTTTGTCTCTGAATTCTTTGAAACTCAGGACTGGTTTTATTCATTGTGAAGCGGAATGGCGCGGTGATTAAGACGCTACTGCACCTTATGTGAGTTCCACGCCAGTCTATTTCTACCTAAATTATCTTGGATGAAATATTCTACGTCTCGGCACCTCAAATTCCCAATGTAGAGAACGGGGTTTGTTAGATGGAATCAACATGGATGAATTGTTACAACGGAAACATTAACTATAACTACTAGAGCTGATAGGATACACGTGTTATTGATGGTTACTCTTTGTTTTTTGTAGTCCTGGGAATGGAACTCAGGGTCCTGCACATAATCACTTTGGAAAAACTCTTCCGAAAAATCCCGAAGAACCGTCAGGATGGGCAACTCTGCCTCAGGTTTATCTCGAAGGACCAGGAGGACCTATCTACAAATCGTTAAGAACTGTGTTACCAAACGTGGCTGTGGTGTTGTCAATGGTCAGCCCTGAACACAAGGCCTTGACTTGGGGCTGGCGGCTCAGCGGGGTTCAGATGGATGTCCAGGCGTCCGTAGAACAGACCTGCAGCCCTCTCAGTTCCTTCCTGCAAGTCGCCTGGCCCTCCCACTGCACATGCGCAGCGGTCGATTCCGCCTCCCCAGCCCCCGGAGGGCCCTGCCACCTCAGAAGATCCCGGAAAGGCCGAGCCGATGTCCCGCGCGCTCTCCTTCCGTCCCATCCCTATCCCGCTGGCGAGCGTCCCCTCGGCGCACTCACCAGCTTTCAGTTCAGTAACACTCGCCATTTTTCAACTGCTACCGGCGTCACGCGTCTGCCGTGCTTACGCCCGGCGCGGCGACGTGGTTTCTAACCAATAGGAGCACTGCTCTCTTCAGACGCAACCTCAACTGTTTCTGTGTCTGAGGTCGGGTGATTGGCGAATCGCCACCAGAGACTTCACCAATGAACGATCGTAGGGAAAGAGGGCGGAGCCAGGGCCGAGTCAGTTCCCGGGCGTTGCTGGCGGGAGCTGCTGCAGTGCCGTCAGAGTTACCTGGAAGTAGAGTTAGAACAGATGGCTCTGACCCACTCTTGGGTCTTTCTGAGTCGAGGACCGAAAGTTGGTTTTTCTATCATGTTCCCGGATGCTATGATTGGCTGCTGGTAGTCTAAGGACACTCACTTGACACGCCTCAGGTGCCCATTTTACAAAGGAGGAAACTTGAGTTTTCAATGGTGAACAAGCTTTCGTTAAGATGACCTGCAGATGGTGGAGGTGATACCTAAACCCAGGCCGTGCCTCTTCAAAGCCTGCTCTCTACACTAGCATTAATACCAAGTACATTTGGAGTCACCGAGCTATTCGTGAAGATAACTGATAAAGGAATAACATGTAGTGTTATAAGTAGAAAAAAGAACATGGGAATAATACGTTCAAAACGATGTGAGGTAGGTAGTATGATTGCAGCTGACTCTCCAGGAAGGCCAAAGACACTGTTAAATAAGAAGCAATCTTGACCTAGAGTCTAAAACTGGACCCTTAAAATTATGGACAATCCAATAGCGCCAGTCTATTTATTAGTGGATGCCAGTCAGCATTTTTTCAAGGAAGTGAAATGTAATAAGAAGTATAGATTTTATTAAAAAGAAATCATTGGTTTGTTTTTCAGCCTCATTGTGTAGTTCAGGTTGTCTGGACATTCATTCTGTAGCCCAGACTAGCATTGACCTAACAGTCTTCCTTGCTCTGTCTCAGAGTGCTGGGATTTTACCAATGAGTGCTACCATACTGGTCGAATTCTGTTTTGTTTTCTATTAAATGTGTCTAAAGGAAGATACGTGTATGTTCTTCCTAAGGTTGGCTTTGTTCCTTTTTTAAAGTTTCTCTGTAGGACACAGGGTGACTTTGAATTAGTGTTCCTTTCTTTAACCTCCTAAATGCTGGGGTGACAGTTGTGCATCACCGTAAATGCTCTCCAGATATTTCTTAAGTGAGTAGAGTTCCAAAAGTTTGAAATCAACGTAGAGGAATGGCTCAAAAGTAAAGTGCTGGCCACAGATGCCTGAAGAGCTGAGTTTAGAATCTCATCACCCATGTAAATGCTGGTTTGGGCTTTCCCTAATCTCAACACTTGGCTAGCAAAGACAGAGGATCCCTGGGGCAATGTGTCTAACTAGACCAGCCAAATCAACAAGCTCTGAGTTCAAGTGAGAAACTTTGCCACAATATAGAAGGTAGAAAACAATGGAGGAAGACACTTAGAATCAAAACTTTAGAGGAGTCTATTCTTATCTTAGAGTACCTTGGGTAGATCTGTTCTGTAACCTTAGAAAGGTCCCTTTCAGTCAGGCCTTTCTATTCTGTGAAACCATGGTGCCTGAATGCCTGGGGAGCAGCTCTGAGCACTAGAGGACTAACTGCATTCTAAAGGTGAGAACAACACTCCTGACTCTACTAGTGAGGAATCCAGAGCAAAGCAGCCTGGACGGATTGTAATTATCATGCATTAATTGACATCCATGACTATGTTCACCAAAAATAGATACAGCTCAAATTTTCCACATTTTGTTGAATGTGGTAGCTGTATGTAATCATATGCTGTAAGTAATCAGGTAATCCCGAGCCAGGAGCTCAGAGTCAGCCAGGGCAATCATAGTGTGACTGTTTCCTGTGGGTATGTCATGATTATCATCATCATGAAGCAGGGCCCTATTACAGAAGACTGCAGCCGTGGCAGCAAAATAAACAGTTATATCTTCTCCCACTACAATGAATCTTGAAACTGCAAAAATATATCAAAGGTTAAAAAAAATGGCAGAGGGGTGGGACTTCGCAGTTGTGCAGCTGCCTTGAGTCCCCCATGCTCCTGTGAGTAATCCTAGTAAACTCAGTGACTCACCAAACTTTGGTCTGCCTTCTTCACTCTTTGGGCTGAATAGACATTTCTTTTACATCTCCTTAGGAAAGTTACACTTTAAATAATAAGAACTTGAACATAGACAGGTAAAGCATTCATTCACATTGAGCACTGTTGGTGAGGATGTAGAAGTCAGGCAATGCCAAAGCTAACTGGCAGGTGAGCAAACTGGCACCACCACCCAGAGACTGTTAGATGAGTGCAAATAAACCTTCCTCGCCCTTTAACTCACTTGCTCTTGTTCTCAGTGTATGTTATAGAGCTATTAGTAGCTAATACAAAAGAACTTATTTATGAAGATATTTCTTGTGGCTTTGTTTGCACTAGACAAAAACTGCACAGGATCAGAAATACTCAAATAAAAGCAACGGATGAGATGGCTCAGTGTGTAATGGTGTTTGCCACCAAGCCTGAGAACCTGAGTTTGGACTCTAGATCCCATCTATGTGGTAGAAAGAGAGAACAAATCCTCAGATATTATCCTCTGATGTCCATGTGCACACTGTGACATGGGCACATACCTCTCTCTAAGAATAAATAAATGTCGAAGAAGAAAGGCCAACAATCCTAAGTGTTGTCAAGGATACTGTGAGCGAGCCACTATGTGGCCTGGTAGGGCTGCTTTGGAACACAGCTCTGCAATGCTTATCCAGTCACATATTTATGTCTCTGGTGCTGTCACCCAATCCTAGGAGTTTGTCCAAGACCAGTGAAAAGCATGTGTGCAGCGGTGGCATAGTCAGTGACAATTTTCCAAACGTGGAAACAGCCTAATGTTTTGATGAATGGATAAATGAACAATGGTGTCTCTTCCCACGGGGTATTGAAAAGGAGCTGAAATTTTGAGACATGCCACATGTCTTACTCTCAAACACATATGTTCTTTCAAAGAAACTAGTTCAGGCTGACTTACCATGTAGCTAAGGATGACCTTGAACTTCTGACTCTGCCTCCATTCTCTGGTGTTGAGTTGATTTATGTTTTTTTTTAATTAGTACTTGTGTGTGTGCACATGATATGGATGTATGCCAGTGGTTCCCAATCTTCTAATACTGTGACCTTTTAATATAGTTCTGAATGTTGTGGTGACCCCAACCATAAAATTATTTTGTTGCTACTTCATAACTACAGTTTTGCTACTGTTAATTGTAATGTAAATATCTGCTAGACAGGATATTGCTATGCAGCCCACAGATAGAGAACTGCTGGTACTCCATGGTGAACATGTGGAGGGCAGAGGACAACTTTGTGGAGTCCCTTGTCTCCTTCCTCCTTTATATGGGTTGTAGGGATCTAACTCAGTTCTTCAGGATTGTGCACTGTGGGGGTTTGAAAGAAAATGGCCCCCAACGGAAGTGGCACTGTAAGGAGCTGTGGCCTTGTTGGAGGAAGTGTGTCACTGTGAGAACGGCTTTGAGGTTTCTTTTTCTTAAACTTCCCTCAGTGTGACTTTTACACCATTTCCTGTTGCCTGCAAGATGCAGGATTCTCAGCCACTTCTCCAGCATCATGTTTCCCTGCATGCCTCCATGCTCCCCACTATGATGATAAAGGACTGAACCTCTGAAACTGTAAGCAAGCCCCAATGAAGACTTTTCCTTATAGTTCCCATGGTTATGGTGTCTCTTCACAGCAGTGGAAACCCGAAATAAGATAGGTATCAAGATTGACATTTAAAAAAAAAGTTTTAAATGATTCGTTTATTTTTATTTTATGTGCATGTGTGTCCATGTAAGGGTGTAACATTCCCGGGAACTGGAGTTATAGACAGTTGTGAGCTGCCATGTGGGTGCTGGGAATTGAACTCTGGTCCTCTGGAAGAACAGCCAATGCTTTAATCTGTTGAACCATCTCTCCAGTCCATGACTGACATTTTTAACTAAGCATCTGTGCTGCTGTGAATGGGCAGCTAGGAAGAGGTGCCACAAAACAATGCTTTTCATATTGCCAGGGACATCTCTTCCTCCCTGTCATTGGGTCCATTGTAGGAGTCATCTCAGCTATGTGCACACCCATTTCTGGAAATGGGAATGTTTTAGCCCTTGGCCAGTGAGTGGTGGGAGCAGTGGATTACCCATGTCTGCTGTGGACACACTGAAGGCGTATTCTGTTCTGCATAGTTCCCAGGGCACTCCGGTGAGACCCAGTCCTAGCTGTCCAAGGTGTGGTAGCATAGCTTCCATAAGTTTGCCAATGTATTCATTATCCTTCCATAGTCCCCTGACTCTAGTTTCCTGGAACTGTTCTTTAGGTCAGAATAAGCTGGGACAGTTATATTAGTATATAGTGTCCCTCTTCATCTACCTGGTGGGTCCTTACAGAAAACAATGTCCAAGGACACTAAAAGTATCTTATGTGTAAACCATAAAAAAGCATTTATGTAAAGCCTACCCACATCTGTAGATACTTTTCAAGGGTACCCAGCTTTGTGGGGGCAGAGGTACAAATTCTTGTATGCAGAGGCGCACCTGCATTCATGTGGAGGACTGAGATCAACCTCAGGTATTGTTCCTCAGGAAACATCCAGTTGTTTTTTGAGACAGAGTCTCTCACTGGCCTGGAACTTACCAAGTAGACTAGGCCAACTGGTCAACAAACTCAGGGTCCAACTGTTTCATCCTCCCCAGTGCCAAGCACCTCCTACCACACCTGGCCTTTTACACGGGTGCTGGGGCTGGAACTCTAGTCCTCATGCTTATGAAGCAAACACTCTACCCCTGAGCCATCTCTGAAGCCCTGTCTAATCTTTTGACATTGCTATATGTCACTACTATGCACAGAGTGTCAGGAGACAGTCATAGCTATCCTGGTATGCATGAGGCTGGTGGACCCTGGGTTGGACAGGGCCTACTTAAGCCATCTCTACATAACTTCTAATGCTCAAAATGGTTGATGACATGTAAATGGCACCCCCACCCCTGAGCATGCACATGCATGTGGGTACCCAT